ACGTATTGCATCTTTAAGAAGTTTTTTCCGATTGGTCATTATTCTCAACTTATCCCCAGCAAGCCAATCATGTCACACATTACAAATTTTCGAAAACTCTGGGTTGCTTGCTCGCGGGGAACACTTAAACCGCGTAAGAAACCCGTCACGGTGAAGATGGGGTGATTTAAATATCAAAGAAAAGTGAACCATTCTGAAAACAAACGTAACATATTTTTGTAATCTGACATTAAAACCAACATAAAAAATAGCAATAATAAAAGAAAAAGTAGGTCGCACATAATAGAAAATGAAGCCGTCTCCATTGATGATAAGTTGTGGTTAACGCTATTGTCAAATAAATCTTACTTTATTTTGGATTTACGAGCGCCGGTAGATTATATCAAACACGATGAGGTAATGAAATATCAATCACATACCCATGATGCTTCACTTCATGGATAATCATCCAGAACGACGCTCTTGTAAAATTGGAGGGAAGGACACGTTTGGGGGAATGTCCTCGCCGTGACGGCTGGGAAACAAGTTGACAATTAGGATATTACAATTCACGTTTGAGTCTTGTTATTGTATGGGTTCGTAGTTCTAATGCCGCCAATTTTGGTGTAAATAGTAATTCCAGCAGTGATTCGGGCCGCACAGTGTGTTTAAAATAATAGCATACATGTTGTAGGGTGGCATTATGTGTATAATTAATGCTAACTGCTTATCAAAAATATTAAATACTAGTTCCAGGGCTACACCGTGTATCAACAATGATAACATTTTGGTTGCGGGCCGTGTATCTACTATGATGAAATTCCCTTTACAGGGCTAAAATGGTATCACGCTAAATGCAGTGCCATGTTGTGTATCTAAATTTATAAAATACTAGTTGCAGGGCCGAACTGTGTCTAAAATTGCAAATGATAGTTGCGGGGCCCATTAAACGGATCCTGGTATTTTTTTTTAATTTGAATTTGGTGATACCTGTAATACTTGAGCAAAATTACATTTGTAACGCAAAATGTTATATCCAAGGAACATGCAAACATCGCCTAGCCATCTATTTAGTGCATCCAATTATCATAAATATGTGTTTTATATTCACTTATTCG